GCAGCCGTCCAGAAGCCAGCGACTGATCTGCCTCACCCGGGAAGAGCGCAATGATGGTGCCAACTTGGGCCAGTGAAGCAACGTCCTCCACAACTAAACTGAAGAACAAAACAACAGCAACTTGTCTGTTCCCCTTCCCTCAATTCCCCAGTGCTGTTCCCATCCCCCTAGTTCCCAATAAAAATCTTTAAAAAAAACTCAAAAAACTAGTTTATTATCACGATGATCCAGAAACATTAATAATAAATTGAAATGTTTTCTCATTTAATTGGTACTAGATAATGAGGATGATATTTTTACTTTTATTTTAAGATGAGCTCCTTCAGTGAGGGACTGAGTAGTTTGTCAAAGCTCACAGTTAGTGATTGAGTCCATAATTAAATGACTTGATTTTGAAACTAGTTTGACATTAACACTGAGAAAAAAGTGAGTAAAGGTCAAATGTTGACTCACATTCCATTTGTGGGTTAGTCATAGCCTTAATAAAATCACTCAGTTTCTACATTGCTGTAACAATTTTCCACTGGCGAAAGGAAAACTGAACAATAAGTACGTGAAATCTTAACAATGTGGATGTTCATTTAACATGTATTTTTGAAGCCTAATGCCTTTCATCCATCATGCCAGGTAGGCTTTGAGCACACAATAATGAACAAGATATAACCCCCTTTTTTGAGGAACTTAGTAAGAAACTAAGAAGTCAGTATATATAATTCATTGTAACAAGTTGTAAAAGGCATAGAATAATTTATTGTGAGAGCATTTAATTAGGATGCCTATCCAGAGAAAGTTTGCCTAAGGACGTGTCAACTAAATTTACAAACTGAAGAACTGAGTAGAAGTTAGCTAAATGAGAAAGTGAGGCATCTGAGATAGAGGGAGAAGTGTTCCAGTTGAAGAGAACTGCTTTCATTTATGCACAAAGAGAAGAGAACATATAGTGTCATTAGAAAGCCACCTAAAATTTAAGAAGGCTTGAGCACAAATTATGAAAGCAGAAATGTGAGAAAATAGCTTTACAATTAACACAAGGGCTGTATATTAAACTCTGTGAATTTCATAACTTCTAAGCTATATCATCCTATTTATTTTCTTATACAATCCTATGTCTAATGGTTGATACCATACATAAGATACAGTGACATGTTTTTACATGGTCTCTAGAGAGTTGCAGTGTAAAAAGGAGCAACAAAGAGAGTGTTAGTCTAATTTCACTTATTAAAAGGATTTCTTTTTCTTTCAAAAAAATATTTTTTTGATTGGGCATATACTTAGGAGATAGAAATGAGTAACTAATTGACTGGATAGAAGAGGAAAGGAAAAGTCTCTTTAGGGTAACCATTACTACTTAACAGAAGTGAATTATCTCAACTGACTAATATAAAAGTAATACATAGTTACAGGAAACAGCAGAAACTCATGAAAATTGACTCTTAGTTGACCTCTGCCCCACGTCCCTTGGCCCTTACAGAACAAAATGGATGGTAGGTGTATACAATGTGAGAGTAATATACAAGGAAGTATCCTATAATGTGAAAAAACACAGGCTTTGGAGCAAAATAAGCCCAACATAAATATGGTATTCGTACCCCCGTAGTTGTTTGATTTTACACATATGTGGTAGGCAGAATAATGACCCTCCCAAAGATGCCATGTCCTAATCCCCAAAACCTGTGAATGCATTACCTTACATTAAAATATATATATATATATATATATATATATATATATATATATATATATATATATATATATATATAATTTGAAGATGTGGTTAAATTAAGGATCTTGAGATGAGGAGATTATCCTGGGCTATCTGGGTGGACCCAAATTAATCAAATGGGCTCTTTTTAGAAGGCAGCAGTGTCACAGTTAGAGTTTTGAAAATGCTATGCAGCTGGCTTTGAAGATGGAGAAAGAGGCCCCAAGGTAAAGAATGTAAGTGGCCTCTAGAAGCTCTAAAAGGCAAGGAAACAGACTCTTCTAGAACCTCCAAAAGGAGCACTGCTCTATCAACATTTTGATTTTCACTCAGTGAGATCCATTTTGAACCTCTGAGCTCCAGAACTGTAAGATAATAATTTCTGTGTAATAATTGCCATGAATTCATGGTAATTTATTAATACACAAATTATTATCGCATGTTAAGTTCTTTAACCTCGAGAACTATATAGCGACAGGCTTATTCTGAGGAATGAACTCTATGATTTAGGTAAAGGTGTCCAATAAGCTTCAGTTGTTAATACACTTATTATTCAGTTACTATTAATTCATACCTGCTTAAGGAAATATTATTAACTTCAGTATCTAAAATGTTGCTGATGAAGCTTTGACCTGGAGAATACCTACAACCTTTTTCCTCAGGGCTCAGATAAAGCCATTTTCCTGAAGTAAAATGTACTGGCCCGAGACTGTTCTGATTGGCAAGTGCCTGGGTTTAAGTATCAACCTTAGCGTTAATATTTAAGATATAAGCATTTGATTGAGGGTTTTTTGTTCTTGTTTTTGTTTTTGCCAGTGGCTGTCCAAGTGCTCAACATCATTTATTGTATTGCTTCTGTACCTTTGTGAAAATTTAGTGGGTCATATTTGTGTGGATCTATTTATGGATTCTCTATTCTGTCATATAATCTATGTGTCTAGCATTCTGCCAATATTGTTTTAATGACCTTAGCGATATAGTAAGCTTTAACATCACATCATATAATTCTTCCTGCTTTACTCTTCTTTTTCAAGATTGTGTTACTGATTCTAGGGTCTATATCTTTCCATTTGAAATCTGGAATAAGTTTGTCTATAGTGTAGGTCTACAAAATTCCTAGTGGGATTTTGATAGAAATTGAATTAAACCTATAGGTCACTTTGGGAACAACTGATATGGTTATTATATTAAGTCTTCAAATCCATGAGCACAGTGTGTACTGCCAAATATCTAAGTTTTCTTTCATTTTTTATCAGCATTTTACAATTTCAGCATTCATATCCTGAATATGTTTTAATTTGATACATAAATATTTCAATTTTTTTGGAATTATAGATGCTGTTGCATTTTTGTTTCCACGTTAATTATTAGTATGTAGAAATGTGATTAATTTTCATGTTTTCAACTTGTATCCTGCAACCTTGCTGAACTCACTTATTAGCTCTAGGAGGTCTGAAAGGGTGAGTTCCTATCGTCAACTGGGCTCCCAATAGATCCCCTCGGCTGGTGCTACTGGGCTCACCTGGGGTTGTCAGTGGGAAGCCATCAATGTGGGCTAGGAAAGAGGTTACCTGGACTGCCTTTTCTTTTTAGGTTGGGGGTCAAGAAATGCCAAATCAAAGCAGCTTTCTTCTTTTGGGTGTGCTACAAAGGCGACCCAAGATGTCTGCCACTGTTGGTTCTCCAGTTCTGGGATCCCAAACCAGCCCACCTTCATCTCATCATCTTTAAAAACTTTACACTAGTTGTTCCTGGTGTTATTTTCAGATGAGGATCAGGGAAAGATGAGTGTACCCCAGCTTGCCTGCCCAGAAGTTGTGATCTCACCCACATTTTCCATCTCACTTCCGGGTGAGAGTTTGTCCTGGCATCTCTCCTTTTTCATTTTTACTACTTTGTGTATTTCTAGTTCTTGCTCTCCACCTATTGTTTCATTATCTCTGTGCTTGAGGTCTCAATGCTCTCTCTGGTACATTGTATTCTTAGTGACACCAGAGGTCCAAGTTCAGTTCTGACTGAATATTAAAAACATCCAATTTGCAGAATAAACCATCTTGCATGGGATTAAAAAAAATTTAAATTCACACACTGAAAAATAGCACTTTTATATACAATATACATTCATTTCCACTAAACAAACATCAAAATCTACTTTCAGTTTATTTCAAAATCAGAACATCGCTATAACAGCCACCTCAATGTGTTTAAACGTAAGTTGCACATTGCTGTGTTACAGATACCCTTTATCTCAAAGTTTCCAGGTTTCCTGGAGAGTTTCTGTCATTGCTACTACTTTCCTTGACTCAAAGCCAAGAAATTCAGAAGCTATTAAGTAGATTCCATGGTACAGAAGCAAACTGACCACAAACTATTAAAAATAAAAATTTTTTTAAAATACACAACAGAAAAATACATAGAAACAGGTTAGTTTAATAGACATTCATTGAATTCCCACCATCAGTCAGGCTATACACAGGGCACTGAGAACATAATGAAGGAAAAAACACTGTGGCTCTCCCAGCATGTAGCTACATTCTTATTGGGAAATGAGAAAACTCATTAAACAATAGCAGCACATTGTAATTTAGATTAAGGAAATAATAGCTACCGTACCAGGGAGATGAGGAAATATAACCTAATGTAAAGGTCCAAAAGCACAAGTGTTGGAAAGATTGTAGAGAAAAGGAACCCTCAAACACAGTTGGAGGGAATGTAAATTGGTACAGCCACTGTGGAAAACAGTATAGAGGTTCCTCAAAAATTAAGAATAGAATCTCCCTATGATTCAGCAATCCCTGTTCTGGCTATCTACCCCAAAAATCTGAAAGCATTTATCCGTAAAGATATATATACACCCCTATGTTCATTGCAGCATTATTCGCAGTGGCCAAAGACATGGTAACCACCCAAGTGTCCTCTGATAGATGATTAAATAAAGAAGATGTGGTACATATAGACAATGGACTACTACTCAGACATAAGAAAAGATGAAACACTGCCATTTGCGACAACATGGATGGATCTTGAGATTATCATGCTAAGAAAACTAATTCAGACAGAAAAAGTCGAGAACCATATGGTTTCACTGATATGTGGGATATAAAACTGAAAACAACAAATGAACAAGACAAACAAACAAACAAAAACTCATAAAAACAGACATCAGTTTAGTGGTTACCAGAGGGTAACAAAAATAGGTAGACAAGGGTAAAGAGGGTCAAATATATGGTGATGAAAGGAGATTTGACTTTGGGTGGTGAACACACAATGCCATATATAGATGATGTATTGTAGAAGGTGGAAAGGGAAACAGTGTCATAATAATATTATATGACCTTGATTACCATTAGCTGTTTGGATTGTATACTGAGATCAAAGGAGGAGTGATTGCAAGATTTTATGTGAGGGAGTGACCTAGTCATATGTTGGATTAGAATTATCAGTTTGGTTGAAATGTGATGAATCAGAATGGATTTGCAGTGAAAGAATGGGTATTTCCAATTATGTAGGTTTTCTTCTATCTTAAAACCGTGTACTTTTGCAGGCTTTCCTGTGAAGAAATGTTTCTCACCTGTGCTTTGAGTGATTAATTCCACCATTTAAGATTTCCACTGAAGCATTAGAAACTGATTTAAACAGCTCGCTGACTTTCTGCTGGTGGCAGCGGAAAAATGACAAATGAACTGAACATTACTTAGAAGTTCCCACGCTAGTGGCTGAACTTTTGCTATTATCTCTACATTTATTTCCATACAGCAATAATGCAAGAATGACAATTTATTGAACATTTACTATGAGTCAGATATATTGCAAAAGATTTTCATCTGTGGTCTCATTTGAATCTTACAACTAGCCAGTGAAATTAGGACTAGTATACTAATTTTCATGTAAAGAAACTGTGCTTGGGGGACTATGTAATTTATCAAGGTCACAGGTTGTAAGAAATAGAATCCATGCTTTAGATATATGGTTTGGAAACTAGTTTGTAAAAGAATACTAGATGAGTTAAGGTCATAGTTTGACACAGCTTATTAATATAAAATCTTGTTTCTCTTTGGGGGTGGCACCCTGGTACGATTTGGAAGCTTAGACTTTGGAGTGAGGCTATTCCCCACTTCTCGGATTCAGTGACTCAATGTCTCTGACCCTAAATTACTTTCTAGATTTCTGTAGAAATTTAGCTTTTTTGTGACAAAGTTAGCAGAAACTAGGCAAATAGGGCAGAGTCTTGTAGTCATGAAGGCATATCCACAGTTACGTATTGAACATATCCTATAGTTGAGACACTGTGCTAGTCTTCAAGGATACAGAAGTGAACTAGGCATAGTCCCTGACTCTTAGAAAACCTGAGAAAAATGGATAAGGCAAAAAGCATTGTTAGGGTGAAATAAGATTACTGTTCACTGAAAAAAGATTTAATTCCTGAAATCTATTTATTTGTATTCATATATATACACACACACATATATATACACATATATTATAACAAAACTGTACAGAATTACAAGAAGAAATTGACAAATACATCAATAAATCAAGTGAAATGAACATACATAAGATAAAATACTATAAATTGCTATTTCGTCCTTTTTGGGATTCATCAGTACAGTGTAGCTACTCCTGCAAATTTTGAAAACATTTTGTTTCTAAAACTCAGTAGGATACAAATAATTCTGAGATTGGCTATTGAATGCTTAAAGAATTAGTGGAATTAACACTTTGTGATTTAATCTGAGATAAAAGCAGAATTTTAAATTCAGTAAAGAGTAAAATAAACAATATTATTTACAGGTATAATACTTATTTAGCACACTGAAATTTAAAACATAAACACTAAGAATTAAAGTGTAAAAAACACTTTGTCAGTGTTTCTAATGTTTTAAAATAGAGTACAGAATAAATACTACTTTTAGTACTTTTTAAATGTCCCTATATATTTGAAACTGACCATGAGAGAATTTTGAATGCGTTAAAATTTTTAAATGACACAAACCAATTGTAATTTTCCTTATTGGGCTATTAAAAACATATTACGTGGTTTCAAGATAGCATGGTCATTTTTATGGTCCCATGTGTGCTAACAAAGGGCTATCTATATAGCAGAAGAGGAGTTCATTGACATTGATTATACTCTGGGTTCAATATATAAATATCAGCAAATACAATTTAATACCTACTTAATTTAGAATCTCTTCCAAACTTCTGTATTATACCACCTTATGATAGTTTGCATCTTTGCTGTCAACAAATATTATGAATGCATACTGGTAATATTTTTGGAGGACCAAGAAATGTAGCAGCAACTGTAAATAACAATTTATAATGCATCTCTCTTAAATGTTTGGAAAATTCCAAATAAAGACTGTCATTAAGGAGAAATTTTTTTCTCTACTCTTCTAAGTTCTTCTGGCTGATCTAATAGCTACATTGACTCAAGACAGATCATCAAGGGGAAAACATTAATTCGTATGTATGGAGATCTCAGCGATACAGGACTTAAACGACAAAAGCAGGCAGCTTTAATACATTTTAGACAAAGAAACCATCCATTCTAGGTCATATGGTAGATCTATTTTTAGTTTTTGGAGGAACTTCCATACTGTTTTCCATAGTGGCTGCACCAGCTTGCAGTCCCACCAACAGTTCATAGGGTTCCCTTCTCTCCATATCCTCACCAACACTTTATTTATTGGCTTTTGATGATAGTCATTCTGACCTGTGTGAGGTGGTATCTCACTATGGTTTAAACTTGCATTTCCCTGATAATTAGTCATGTTGAGCATCTTTTCATGTGTCTGTAAATCATCTGTATGTCTTCTTTGGAGAAAAGTCTTTTCATTTTTTTTTTGTTTTGTTGTTGTTATTGAGTTGTACAAGTAAAACACTTACCCCCAAAAAACAAAAACACTATTTTGAAAACATATCTGCACCTATGTTCACTGCAGAATTATTTACAATAACTAATGTATGGAAGCAAGCTAAACATTGATGGTCCTCGCTGGTGGCATACTTTGAGGATGCCTACCTCATCTCCATCAAGACCCTGAAACATTATGCTACATGGAGACATCACTTGGCTTGCTACAAATCCATTTCCTATCTGTGTAGGTCCTGGCACTACTGACTCCATTGTCATTCAGGTAGGCACATTCTCCAGCTCCTTTGATGACAAACCTAAAACCAAACACAAAAATATTAAAAATTGGTAAGTTGGATACCTATATTCATTCTTCCACTATATAGGAACACCTTGTTTTATTGTGCTTTGCTTTACTGCACTTTGCAGAAATTGCATTTCTTACAAATTCAAAGTTTGTGTCAACCCTGAGTTAAGCAAGTTTATCAGTGCCATTTTCTCAATAGCATTTGCTCACTTAGCGTCTCTGTGCCACATTTTGTTAATTCTCACAATATCTCAAACTTTTCTCAGTATTATTATATTTTTATAGTGATCTCTGATCAGTGATCTTTGATGTTACTACGATAATTGTTTCAGTGCACCAAAAATCTGAGTCCATTATGAGATGGTGAACTTATGTGATAAATGTTGTGTGAGTTCTGACTGCTCCACCGACCACCATTCCCTTGTCTGTCTCCCTCTCATCAGGTCTCCCTATTCCTTGGGACACAACAATATTGAAATTAAGACAATTAATAACCCTACAATGGGCCGGCCGAGTGGCTCAGTTGGTTAAGAGCTCGCTTAAGAGTTTGAGCTCTGAGCAACAGCGGTTCGAGTCCAGCCCGAGCTGAGCAGTCACTGAGCTGCCAACAGGTAGCAGGATGGCTCAGCTAAAAAA